ACCTAAGGAAAGACACAAAGCAGCCTGCCATATAACAAAGGTAAGCTTTCATGATGCTGAATACTTCACAAAGTATTTTCACATTATCACTCAATTTGATCCTCACAACAATCCAATTTAGGCTGCTATTACCCCTATTTGATAGGTGAGGAAAGTGAGAGAGGTTAAGTATCTTGTCTGGGGTCATATGGCCAGCAAGTGGCTGAGCCAAGACTCAAAGCCATGTCCATCTCCTGCCTTCAAATCCTGCCTCTTTCCAAGTCATGAAAAGCCTCCATATCCACAGAACTGCAAGCCATTGCATGATGTGGCATATCAGTTAAGATTGTTTGACTGCAGGTAATAGAAATTCCAGCTCCAACTGGCTAAAATAAGGACATGTATTATCCCATTACAATAATCCAAAAGGAGTTCAGGGGAAAGGTGAATTTTAAGTTGGCAGATTCAGTGGTTCATGAATGTTACTGCTATTCTGCTATTTGTTAATGCATTAAAGTTTCCTTAGGCTGCCGTCCCTCTTGATTCATAGATTAGACATCTGCCAGCAGCACCTGGGATGTACAATTCCTTGTTTACATTTAGTAGGGGAGTTAGAGGCAGACAGCTATCCCAATCATAGAACACATCTTCTTTCTCTTGGTTTGCTTTCAGCAATTTAGGTTATGGGTCACAGATGGAGCTTACAAATACTCCACAATATATTTCTGTACATTTCCTAACTCAGAGCATATGATTAGTTCAAAGCAATAAAGTATGAGAAAAGAAGAAATGAGTCACTTCAATAATGAAGCATGTGTGCCTCCTCTATCTCCATTTTTCTTCATATCACCCAGGGGATACAGGTCACATGTTAAAACAATAAATACCTTTCATAATGGAGGCAGCCTGCAAACCAGAGTCACCAGGTGGAGAAGAGATTGTGCTAACCTGCATCAGACTTTGGGTAATGATAAAATAATCTTAGTTTCCCTCTCCTACTGAGATTTCAGGGTTTCTCTGTTGGGACACTCAGCATTAATTACCCTGATTCGTGCAGATTACATGCTCACCTGAGGGAAAGCTGTGCATTAACTAGCCTACACACCATCTGAGATGGAATGGATGTGCATAGTCATCTGCATTTACTACAGTTTTATAGTAAGATTCCCACGCTATTCAGTCGGCAACTCAAGATTTTTAAGCACAAAATACTTAAAGTTACACTAATTCCTATAAAATGGAAAATTTGACATTTTCATAAAAAGCACCATCAAAAAGCAGACATGGCTTTAGCTCACTGAGGATCTTCAAAAGACCCATTTGAAAATAAAATGCACTTAAGTCATACAATAGGTTTTGCAGCTTCACACATCTGTTCCATGCAAACATTTATTCAACAAATACTACTGCTTAGCTCTGAGCAAGAGGCAAGAAATACAAATAAGTTATGGTACCTTCAGTCCAAACTTTACTAGTGAGACACATATATATATATAAAAGTTCATGGAAGTTGAGCACATGGTCAAATATTCCCTAAAATCTACTATCAAGATAGCATACTAACCAATAATGTCTAAGGTGGGAGTATACTAAGAAGCATAACCAGGATTTAAGCACAGATGGGCCATACTCCAAACAAAGCCCACATTCTTTTCAAAACTCTGAATAAGAAACAGCAATTAAAAAATAAATCAAATTCATCATGGCATTTAAGAAATCTAGTCTATAGGAGATGAATTTAGTATCAAACATCAAACTAGAAGCTACAAAGACAGCCATGATGGCTTTGAAACTTGAACTTACATATTTATTGTATTACTTAAGAAAATTTAGTTCACCTAAGTAGAGAACATGAGAAATAAGCAGTGAAAAGATATAACTAAGTATTGACAATATGTAAGGAGATATAGCTTGGCAGACATATTTGACACAGAAACAAAGTAGAGATGGAAGAACTAAGTTAAGCACCCAACCTTCATGTGTCACCCAATATTCATTTCTTAAATGAATCACACATTGATTATACCCATTCTGGCTACATATTTTCTCTGCCTGAGATATGAAGATAAAAATCCATAGCTATTCAGTAGTATGTTAGCAACTTACAACTGTACTTAGGTACACTTGCCCCTGATGATACAATGTGTCTGGAGACAACACAGCTTGCTCTATCTGCTTAGCCCCACGGTTCACAATCAATACTTGTCCTCACATACACACCATGATGGGGGAAGGCTGATGTAACAGGGAAGATAAGAGACAGGATAAATGAAACTTATGTAATACAGGGTTCAGAGAGTGTGGTCCTTTCATACCACTTAAACCCTTTCTAAATAGGAAACCTGACCCACCTTCTCCCCCTTGCTTTGTGCTGTTTTAACACGATTCAATAAATCTGTGACTAGAATTTCTTAATTTGGTCTATAAGCCTTTCTGTACTGTGCCCATAGCTCCTGCCTGCACTATGTAAGTAGTGATATATGGAAGGTACCTGATGATACCTGGTGGTAAGGCTACAGGAATAAAAGACCCAAGTTAAGGACGAAGGCTACAAGACCTGGGATACCCTTGGAATTGCTGCGGTACTGACAAGAGTTATGGCTAAGTCTGGAGGGATGGGCCACTGGGCCCTGACAATACTAAGAGAACTGAACCACAAATTCACCAGTCACAGTTTAGATACCTGAACCCGCCCATAAATCAGAACAGTCAGAGTATAAGAATCTACACACATGCGTTCTAGCCCCTTTCTTTATCCACTACAATATGCAAACTCCCATCTCAGTCTACCTCGCCTCAAAATACCCAGATGCCTCTTTGGACAGATCAGCAGGAAGGGTAGGAATCTGAAAGACTGAGGATTCACCTGAGACTTGAGTCATCCAAAGGTGGCATTTGAAACCAGAAAAGACTAGGTCAGTATTAACTGGTGGGTGTAGTTCTATTCTGCCTAAGGGAAAAAAGAGATACATTACAGGAAAAAAGCTACATTTTTGTACATGTAAGTAGTATTTTAAGTAAATTTTTGAGCCCACTATGTCTTTACTAACAGCACTACCAAAATGGGAAAGAGATAAAAGGAATGAGGAAGAGAAAGTTGGTTAGTCAATGGGCACAGGAACCAAGTATCTTTGAACCATCTGTGTCCCACATCAAGAATCCACATCCCCACACACACATACACATACACCACAAATACCTGGTACTCTATTATTTTGTCTAGGAACATCTATCTTCAGTAGCAAAAAACCTGAGCAGTTACTACATGTGTGTCTATGTAGAGAAGATGGCAACTAAGAAAAAGCTATGTCAGTCCACATGTATGTATTTATGGTACTTAGCTCTCACTTCTATGCCACAAACCTAAAAAAAAAGTCTTTTGTTCGGCAATAGCGACCTTTTTCCAGAGATACTATGCTACAATTCCTAAAAACTTAAGTAACTGTCCTACGATAACACAGGGCCACAGCACAAAGGTCAACCTGAAGTTAGAGTAGGAAAGAGTGAAAATTACTCATGTGCCAGAATGAATAATCTCTTAGTATGACTTATCTGTCCATCTTAAATGAAACTTTGTACATATTTTGAATATAAATTAAGGAAATACATGGAATTTCACATATGGGTCAGTCTGCATTTCTGTAAAAGGTAGAGATCAATGTAGAGAGGCCAAGGGCAAGAAGGATCTAATCAGACCACAGATGACTTCAAATCTCATGACAAATAGGTCAATCTGCTGCTTCACTTAACACATTTCCAGTTTTAAAGTATTTCTTTTGTAAAGTTGGAAAAATGCAGACCTGTGTCAGTAATAAAATAACAGCTCACTACGTTACACATAGAAAAATTGGATCTTGAAGAAAACTCTTTGGAGGGATAAAAAGAGCCTGCTGGATAGGTGGATGCTACAAACTTCAAAGCTAAAAAGAAAAGAGACAGGTAAACTAGTATACAGGATGCTGAAAAGTTCTGAGCATAGAAATGGGGGAGTCACCCTGCAGTTTTACTAATTCAATCTGTGACACTGATACACCATCTGGTGACCATTTGGGGCCTATGTGCCGAAAATTGCCTGGATATTTCTAGATATTTTAGGATGCCATCACAACCTGCAACAAACTGCAGCTCTTTTGGAAACATAAAAAAAATAAGTATCTAAATGTGATGATATATAATTGAGCAATTAATGTGACAATAAATATTGCACATTTAGTACTTCTAGGATAAATAAAATATCCCTTTTGAATGATACCAACTTGAAATATAAATATATATATTTATGCATTTTCTAAATATTGAAATAAAAACATTACAGCATTCTGTAAATTATGTAACTGACAATACTGGGTTATTGCAAAAGGTTATGTATAGCACCAACAGAGCTTTTGGAATTCATGAATTTCAGCCCTACAAATATACATGCTTTCCCATGGATTTTACATTAGTGGTATTTATTTTTGATGCTACTATATTATAACAGCCAGAAGTATGTACACTTAAGGATTCACAAACACTTATCAGCCAAGCTCTTTTCCCATCACTTTCAGCAACCATGCTGAAACAAAAATTCTAGAATTACTAAGTTAAAACAAGAATGTGAAGAGACAAATATCATACCCATACTCAGAGGTAATAAATGTTTAATTCTTTCTCAATCTAGCTACAAGAGTTTCCCAGTTAACTACAAATAAGCATTCACAGTTAGTTACCTTTTTCAGAACAGTAAAGTCTAAGATGCTTCAGAGTGTTCTACATTAAATCAAGTTGGTGTAACTAAATAAACCCAGCATGCATCTTCCTTCCCCTTTTTAGGAAAGGAAAGTGAACAAAAAAGCTGAATGTTGCCCCAAACACTGCTTCGTGTCGATTTGAATAGATGGCAACTTACAAAGCAACAAATCTTCCCCCACCTCCTAGGATGGAAAACCAAAGTCCCACAAACATCTCATCCAAACCGGGAGGGCAAAGGCCTCTCCTAAACCCTGGCTGTGTGGGCGGAAGCCCGGGCGGCCCGTACTCACACAGACGGCGAGCGCTCCCGCCCCCATTCTCGCAGGAAATGTCTGGTAGAGCGGGTGAAGACCAGGTGATGGAAACATCAAAATGACAGCGAAACACTAAAATTCCATTCAGTGGATATGCTCTGATTTGAATAACAGCTCCTAATCCATAGACACTGTAGCAAGTGAAGAGCAGCTTCTAACATTTTCGAAGTGTGGCTTTGCTTCTTATTCAGCTAAACCCTCACGGCGGGGAGCACTGCCTGGAGTTGAAATTTGATTCCGAGTGCCCTGTATTGGTGAGTGGCGGGAGTCATGTGACGTGGTCTTAAGTCGCTGACATCTTTTAAGCCAGATGTACTACGTGCCACACGCAGGCTCCTTGTGTTCACAAAACGCCCATCACCTGGCGATACTAATAAGACTAAGTGCAGAAAGCGAAAATACAAACTTGCTTCCTTGCCGCTACTCATCTCTAAGAAAAACGTACATAGTCCAGGTTTAAATCTACAGGCATATTCCTCGCTTTTCTGAGGCAGTTTTCACTTCTGTTGCCCTGCCCCCAAGAAAGCAGTTAAATTGTGTTTTAAATTTAAATCTGTTTAAAAATTTCTTCCCTCTACTTTTATTCTAACAGAATTGTCCTAAATAAAAACTGTTTTATATAGCTGTTTTTTACTGCTTCTAATTACTTATCTTATTCATATATACCAGTGATAAACAAAACATATTTCTAGACAGTCACAATTCTACATATGTGATTTACAGTCTGGAAAATTAGCCTCTACTGACCTTTCAATAACTTCCTACTCCATATGCTGTCATCATTATGTATGATAGATTTTACAGTTTCCAAATATTTGAATGATAGCCAAACTATCCATTTTATAAGCAGGAAAAAAAACTGACTTTTTTTTGCTACCACTTATTTTCAGATCTTTTTTACTGGCACATTGAAGAGCATGGTGACTAATATTACATGCAAAGTTTCACTTGACTCAACTTTAAAAGACGTAATTGTCCCCGGTTACAAAACATAAATTATGTCTTAAGGGGAGAAGATGGAGAAAAAAGGAAAACCAGAATCAGCTCCCATTTCAGTATTTCCCTTTACATTTAGTATTTGCGTATCTATAGCTAACCAACACTACCCACTGAAAAGCCAAGATAGCAAATTGTGTTAAGCAAGCCACAAGACAAGACAGACTGCATTTTATATCTATATGTGCATACAAAACATTGCAAAGATCCTACTTCCACAAGGCAGAATAACACAATCCCAAGACCATACAAGGAGATGGGAGGTATAGACAATCTTTTCCACCAAAAAGGAAAAAAATTTTCTACTTCCACCTTAAACTGGATTTTATCATTTCTGCTTCCCACTCACCCATTAAAAAACTAGACTGATTATGAAAGAAAAATTAAACCTTTCCTGGCACTTTAAAAAGTTGTCTTCTTTTTCTGACTATGTTATTAGCATTGCCAGTCCATGGTGGAAAACAAAAGCCCCAAGATTAGGTCACCTAGTGACTCATCACCCAACATCACCAATCAATATTTATTGCCGGACATTGTGCTACATACAGTGTACAAAGATAAGAAAGATATGGTGCCTTCTCTCATGGATCATCCACTAGGGGAGGGAGGAAGAGGAACAAGTAATTAAACCTTTTTAATTAGTAAACATGGAAGTGCCAATAAAGCAAAGATGAAATTGTAAAAGGAAATAACAGAGAACACCCAGAAACACTGACATATCTACTTACATCTCTTATTTTTTTCAAATGTAACTTAAACCTAATTTTGGATAATTTATATCCTAATTTTTCTTTCACTTGACATTGTATCAGAGGCATGCTCCCATATTAGCAGTATATACCATTTTAGTCATGTGTAATATTACATTCTGTATATATAATATACAGAATAACAGTTTCTTTAGTTAATCTGCCACTTTTAGACATTTATATGGTTTCTGATTTTATGTGTGTGTGATTTTAAGTAATGCTTTGTGCTTTATTCTGACTTGGTAGTGAAGACTCCTGAAAGTGAAATTTCTGGATCATGGAATATGAACATCTGCTAAGGCTCTTGACATATAATGGCCCTGGTAGTTTAAATTCAACAATTCAGCCTACCCAAGTTTGACTATTTTGTATGATATTTCCTAATTTAATAAGTGAAAATGATTTATTTTAAAACTTGTATTTCTTTTTATTATCAATAAAATTAAAGATATGAAAAAATCTCATTAGTCATTTGTATTTTCTGTTCTGTGAACTGTCTTTGATCCATTTTCTTTGTCCACTTATCAACTGGAGTCTTATCAGTTGAAGTCTCTTCTATAGGGTCATTGCAAGGATTAAATGATATAATCTATAAAAAGCAGTTATTATAGTACCTGGCAAATGGTAATAACAATTTTGGATGTTTGTCCTATGGTTTGATTATATATCTATTTGGAATTTACTTATAAATATAGCAAAAAATGAGGATATGCATTTGGTTTTTTACTTTTCATATAATTACTGTGACCCACATTGTTAACTGCCCCCAGTATACAACCTCTCTAATAATATTAGAACTTACTCCCTCTTAGCTGTGCTGAACCCAAAGTTGTCCACCTAAAGACTACATTTCCCCACTCTTTCATGCAGGAAGATAGGGCCATCTGACCATGTACTCATTAACTGGATGTGAATGGATAGGAAGTGTGCAACTTTCATGTCACGTTTAATAAAAACATCTCTTGCTCTACATTTACTCTCCTTCCCCTTTATCACAAGCTACAGTGTGGAGACAGCAGAAATATAGCTTCAGCCATGGAAAAAAGAATGACAGAGCATGACAAAGTCAGTGGATGGAAGGAATCCAGACCTCTGAATGACCTTGTGGAGTTTGGCTGCTTTACAAACCTAGATCAATTGAAGTCTTACATAAGAAAGAAACAAAACTCTTAAATTTGCTACCATATTTGAAGGTCCTACATGTGTGTGTGTGTGACTAAAACAACTTTGTCTTTACCCTAATACCTAAATGACTCAGCCCCATTTATTGAGCAACATTTTCCATTTTCCACTTATTTGTGATACAATCCATACTATATATTAAATTCATATACACACACATATACATGCACAAGGGCCTTTTTCAGGCTAATATATTCTATCTTATTTTTCCTTTCTAGTTTTATTCTGCTTCCATAATACTTGAGTAACTCTGATTCATTTAAATATCTGATAAACATAGCCTTCTCTCATGGCCTATCACTTTCAAAAATTTACCACCATTCTTTCCAATCAACTCTTCATGATGAATTTCAAAAACATGCAGTAATGTTATAAAAAGTTACATCGCCAAAATATTATACCTCTTGTTACTGTTTCTAATAGATACACATACATTTTTCTGTTTTTGATATTACTACATAGGGATGACAAAAAAATATAGTTCTAATTTTCATAAGTTCTTCTATGCCATTATAAAGTAAAATTGGCACTGTGCATAGCAAATTTTTATGCTTAGTTATTCATCTCAGTGATGATCTTACTTGCAAAGGATTTTACTTACAAAAGAAACCCTAAATAAGATACTCTTCACTTCAAACAATGTTTCTCCATAGAATATACCTGAAATTAGAGTCTGAAATATCATCTTCTCCTGATCCCGAAATGAATGCAAATGATAGCAGAGTCCAATTCTTTACAGAAAGTTCTAAGATGTCATACACATATATTCCTGTTGGCTTTGTAATGAACTTGACATTATAATGAACCTTAAGACATACAAGCCACAATGAACATATTTGCTAAGATAATACATGAGCTCATGTTTTTCCCCAAAAAAGATAGAGGAATTTTAAAAAGTACTTTTCTGGATGGCCCACACCAGCATAGTAATTACAATACAACTTCCAGAAATGCTGAAATACCACAGCATGACAACGGATGTCCTATTTTTCAAGAAGATCCCTAGGCTCTCTGGAGTAAGTCAAGGTGACTTCACAACTAATGGTCAAGGCCTCTAGAATGCTGTCATTCCAGTCGCCCTCTGCTCTGGGAAGCCTGATAAAGCTAAAAGGGTTATCCTCCATCCACCAGAAAAGCTAAAAATACTTCAAAGTCAAGCCCTCTGATAATAGCTGGCAGAACTTTCAGTTTTCAAAGAACAAAAACTTCTTCAGCTAAAGTAGAAATAATAGTTGTCAGGAGAACAGCCATAGCCAGCAGACACGGTACGGTTGGCTATATGGTAGAGACCACCAGATATTATGGGGGCTGACAGTGGCAGCAATGTCAGCATAAACCACCTGAGGCCCATTGGAAGTGGAAAATTGCAGGCTTTTTCCATCCAAACTCAGTCAATCTCTATTCCGCCTCTAGCCCTATTCCAGCTATTTCTCAGTGAGTACCCCAGCCTGGACCAGAATCAATGGCACCCAACCAGACAGGGTATCAGCAGTTATGCAGCATTTATCATTTATGTATTCTCTGGACCAGTCAGAGGTTCAGATATTTCAGTTTTTGAATCTCTGATGGTAGATGCACCTAAAAGATTACTTGTTTTAGGCCAGGGGTCAGCAAATACAGCCTGTGTACCAAATCTGACCACCATAGGCTAAATACAGCTCCCCTAGACCAAATCTGGTCACACCTAAATCTGGTACATAAACCGTATGGCTGTTCTGGTATTACAGTGGCCAAGCTGAGTAGCTGCAACAGAGACAGAACCTATGGCCTGCAAAGTCTGAAATATTTACCATCAGACTCTTCACAGAGCAAGTTTGCTGAGCCTTGCTCTTGGCTATTCAGTAACATTATTGGGCATGAGAGTCCCATATATCCAAAAAAAGACTAGTCTATAAGATCATCCATCACAAACAAGTGAGGTTCATCCCAGGGATGCAAGGATGGTACCACATTCGAAAATTCATCAACATCATCCACTACATCAACAAAAAGAAGGACAAAAATCACATGATCATCTCCATAGATGCTGAAAAAGCATTTGACAAAATTCAACATCCATTCATGATAAAAACTCTCAACAAAATGGGTATAGAGGGCAAGTACCTCAACACAATAAAGGCCATATATGACAAACCCACAGCCAATATTATACTTAACAGTGAGAAGCTGAAAGCTTTTCCTTTAAGATCGGGAACAAGACAACAATGCCCAGTCTCCCCACTTTAATTCAACATAGTTCTGGAGGTCTTATCCAAGGC